TACAAGCAATAATTAAATATATATATATATACACACACACATACATGTTTATAAAATGTGTATGTATACTTTCTTTCCAGCAGCCACTATAGGCAGGCAGTATTAACACAGCCTTCTTCGGTTTTCATCTGAGCAAAAATCCACCACAAAAAAACAGGAATTTCGTTAACCCCCCGCCAGGACTTGCACTGCCCCCCCCCCCCCCCAGCATTCCTGTCTGGTCACAATTCTCTCTCTGAATAGGACAACAGAGGACATGAACAGCAGACAAAACCCCCATCCAGACTGCTCAAAACCAAGAAGCACCTTCTCCCACAATCCTGACAAAACGAAGAGACAATCTTGCTAAAACAAGAGCCCGATGTATGTTTATATTTATGACATAAAATGTTATTTATTCATCATCTTATCGGCAAATCTTCCCAACCTTTAGGAAAATAAGCCCCTACAGGAACTGTGCTGTCTTCCAAATCAAACCCCAGATTACCCAGCGCATTCAGCACGAGGATTTCTGCATGACTCCGACCTGCCCCCTCTATTCTCTATGACTTTGCTTCCAGCTGCTGAGCAACAGCCACGCCAGCCTTTACAGAACGTACAATCCCGATTACGCTCCATGCAGTCGCAGCGCGTATCCATGACCATGCAGGAAACCAGGCTCGGTGCATGATGCACTGAACTTACATCGTGTCCTGGGTCTTCCTCCCTCCATCCCCACACACAAACTTCTTACCAGCACGAAGCGATTTAGCTGCAGGCAAACACTGCTAAAACAGCACTTTCCAGTATTAGTCCCATCACCGCATTCGAGATTAATTTTAATGGCGTTTGGAATAGGTATAGTGGGAATGCCAAAAGACACCCTTGTGGAGGCTAGCCCTCAGATCCCATGAAGTTAATTCTTGCTCTGGCTAGATATCGGGAGGCAGCTCACACTGTCCAGCGTGCCTTAAAAAGCAGGAGCCGTGTGCTAGTGGGATTAGTGATCAACAGGAGAGAAAGCTCCCTTATTTCACCTAACGTGATTCAGTCTGCAGAGCTCCTTTTCGGCAGTCCCAGCTCTGCACAACCTCAGAAGCAAACGTTTTGCCTCTGCATTAACGAAGTGGGGAAAAGTCTGGGCAACTTGAGCTTTTGCTTCTTCGTATTACCAAAAAAATAAGAATCAAAATCACCCCTCCACATGCACCCCCGCTGCCTCTGCCGGCATCGCTTCGGTGCCCCCCTCCCCACACGTTCACTCAAGCGTGCTGTGGCAAGGAATGTTTTTGCAAACACCAGCTTTCACCACAGCTAATACACAATCATTTCTTTTTGCCTGGCTCCAAGAGGAGAAAAATCCAACTTGCTAGAGGAGCATCTGCATCGAGAACTGCTTTTGCTGATGGGATCAGCACTCGGGAGTACCAGGGAAAGCAGGAGAAAGGGTCGCGTACCAATTCATCATCCCTGCACGTATCACCCGCAGACATCTCCCTCCCACCATCCCCCAGCCGAAATCTCAGCCGCAAAAAAAAAAAAAAAAAAAAAATCCAACAAAAAAAAAAGAATAAACCCCCGAGTAGAAGTTAAGAATGCTATACAAATGACATTGAAGATGCAGGAGAAATATGTATTTGCTGTTGCACTGCACAATTTCATGGGCTTATTTCCTAGGTATACATTTCACGCACCCTTCCCACACAGATCCCCTCCCCTCCGCCCCCTCGGCTTCTTTAAAAAAAAAAAAATAAAAAAAATAAAAATCTTTGATGTGTATATTCATTTTATCTCGAGAGAGCGGTGTCCTCAGAAGAGGTGTCAAGGCCCTCCCCTGCCTCCACCCACGCACCCCTCCTCCAGGCTCAACCATGCTGTCTCCATCTTAACTCCAGCCACTTCTTCACCGATTTCATTAGGCAGCAGAGTTAACCCCTTCGGCTACCCAAATGTCGGGGACAAAAAGGACCTCCCCATCAAACATCACTTTCTGCCTTCCCCTTCGTCTTTTTTTCTCATCCATATCCCAGCAAAAAATTCCTAAAAATCCACCACTGAGATTATTTTTGCCCCCTTAATTCATCTAGGAAATACCAACATAAGGCTATTAACCCTTCCAGTGAGCCCCTCCAGGGCTTCCCACTGCTTCACCACGATGTGTCATCTCTCCCCCCACCCCCTTAAAAAAAATTAAGCGTCTTCTCCCTCAGGATTATTTTAAAAGCTACAAAACCCAACCAACCCTACCTGCAGCCTCTTCCCTACAGTCTAACCCATCTGTGGGGTGGAGGGGTGCATCCGCCACCGGAGGCTTCCCTCCATCCCCCACACCTCACCCCTTCCATCCTATTAACCCACGTCCCATCTCAGAGGACGCTGGGCCACGCCGGGTCTTTTACAGTTGTCCTTACAACACCCCTTTCCATAAGACCAACATCTCTGTGGTAGCGTTTGCATCTACAGGCTTTCATCCCGGAGAATCCCTCCCTGCCTCCTCCCACATCTCTTTTTGGGGAGGATAACGCGATTTCCAGCTCACTCTGGAGGATGCTTTTTTTTTTTTTTTTTTCCCCCCCCTCACTGAGCCTGGGGTCACTTCCCCGACCCATCCTCCGGACAGTGTCTCCTCTACCCCAGGACTCCTCCTGCTAGAGGGGGACAGTCCCTGCCGTCCCTGACCTTCAGTCTCACACCATCAGCCCCAACGCCGTCCCCACTCCCCCGCCTCAGGGACGAGGAGAAGGTTTCTTATTTCGCCAAAGCCACAGCCGAGGCATCACGCTGCGTTTTTCCACTCCCACAACCTGCTCGTTCGGTGCGGGGGGGGGGGGGGGACTGAGCGAGCCGAGGGGGTGGGGGGGGCTCCCCCTTCACCAGCTGGGGAGAGGCTCCCGGGGATGGATGCGACCCTCACCCCTTCGGCATCTACGGGGGGGTTCAGTTCACGCCTGGAGGACACCAACCCTCTGGAATCACCACATCCCAGTGCCTGGCGGCCGGGGGTCTGCCATCCACCCCCCTGCAGACCCTCTCTGGAGAAGCCCCCTGTTTTTTGTGGGGCCTCTCCCTTCTTTCCCCCAACCCCCCCCCCCTCCAAAAGGGGAGCGGTGGGGCAAGCCCTCCCCAGATCCACAGGACCTCCCCTCTGCAGCGCTGCCGGTGCGAGGGTCACCCCCAGACCCGGGCCTGTCTCCACGCTGTCACCCGTGGGGTGTCCGTCCCCCCCCCCCCATCAGCTCCTGTCGGGAAGAAGAGCTCCATCCCCCCCCCCCTTCCCATCCTGCCCCATCTCTGTGGGGCAGCATCTACAGCCCCATGGAACTAGAACCCTTTCCACCCCTCATGCTTGTGGGGGGTCACCAACCCGTGTCCCCTCCACACCATGAGGTGACAGCAGCTCCCATTTCCCTCTCCCCAGCCCCACACACTTGTTTGGGGGGGACATCTCTCCTCCCCTGAGGGCTCTGCTCAGTGAAGTAGGGGTCACCCCAAATCTCCACATGGAGGGCACTGACCCGTCCTGCTTGGATCAACGAACCCCACTCCTCTCACCTCAGCCCCCCAGACACATTTTGGGGGAACCTCTCTTCCCGTTGGATGTTCCCTCAGCACAAGGAGGGCCCTCCCACCTCCTCCAACCAGAGGAGCACTGACCCACACCCACCTCAGACCCTGAAGTGACAATCACCCCCATGTCCCCCACCTCAGCCCCCCAGGCTCATTTTGTGTGATTCTCTCCTCCCTTTGGGTCTCTCCTCACCCAAAGAGGATCTCCCCTCCTTCTGTATGCGGGGGACACTGCACCGACTACAACCGCCTCAGACCTGGAGGTGACACTGACACGTGTCCATCTCAGACCATGAGCTGACAGTGACCCCCATACAGCCCACCTCAGCCAGGGGACAGTGATCCACCTCAAACCATGAGATGACACTGACCCACGTTCACCTCGGACCGTGGGGAGATGCTGACTCAAACCATGAGGTGTCAGTGATGTCCATCCACCTCACCTTAGCCAGGAGACAGTGACCCACCTCCACGACAAACCATGAGGTGACACTGACCCACATCCACCTCAGACCATGAGGTGACAGTGACCACTTACCCACCCCCCGTCAGCCAGGGGACAGCGACCCACCTCCACCTCAAACCATGAGATGACACTGACCCACGTCCACCTCAGACCACGAGGTAACAGCAGTGCCCACCCACCTCACCTCAGCTAGGGGACAATGACCCATCTCAGACCACGAGGTGACACTGACCCCCACTGGCCCCACTTCAGCCAGATGACAGCGACCCTCCTCCACCTCAAACCACGAGGTGACAGCGATGCCCGTCCACTCCACCTCAGCCAGGGGACAGTGACCCACCTCAAACCAGGAGGTGACACTGACCCACGTCCACCTCAAACCACGAGATGACACTGACCCTCCTCCACCTCAAACCAGGAGGTGACAGCGACCTCCATCTGCCCCACCTCAGCCAGGGCACAGTGACCCACCTCGAACCAGGAGACGACACTGACCCACGTCCACCCTGGACCATGAGGTGACACTGACCCACCTCAAACCAGGAGATGACACTGACCCACGTCCACCCTGGACCATGAGGTGACGCTGACCCACCTCAAACCAGGAGGTGATACGGACTCACCTTCACCTCAAACCACGAGCTGACAGCGACCTCCATCTGCCCCACCTCAGCCAGGGCACCGTGTCCCACCTCGAACCAGGAGACGACACTGACCCACGTCCACCTTGGACCAAGACCTGACAGCGATCCCCCTCCACCCCACCTCGAACCAGGAGGCGACACTGACCCACCTCAGCCCGCGAACTGGCAACGACACCCCCCCACCACCACCACCACCACCCTCCCCTCCACCCCACCTCAACCAGGGGACACCAACCCGAGGCCCCCACCTCAACCTGGGGACCGCGCGGCCCCCACCGCCACGTCGGGCACCCACCCGGCCGCCACCCACCCACACCCCCCCACCACCCCCCCCCCCGCCTTACCTCCAGACCTGCCCCATCTGCAGCAGGTGGATGACGGACTGCCAGACCCAGACGGAGATCCTGCAGAGGCGCTGCGCCCCGGGGGTGGCGGTGCCGCCGGCTCCTCCTACCCCGCCGGCGGGTCCCCCCCGGCGGCCGGCGGCCCCCATCATGGGCGGCCCGCGGCTGCTGAGGCCCTGCACGGCGCCCAGCCCGCCGCCCGTGTAGTCCTGCACGAACCAGCGGAAGCTGAGGATCTGCACCAGCACCGAGGGCAGCAGCACGAAGGCCAGCGTCAGGCCGCACCAGACGTAGTCCCGCCGGCCGTAGTGGTGCAGCGCCAGCCACAGGTCCGTGCCCACGTCCCCCAGCAGCACCAGCAGCGCCAGCACGATCCACAGGCAGTCCAGCCACGGCCGCTCGCCCGCCTCGCCAGCCTCCGGCGCCCGCGGCGGCCCCTCGGCGGCGGGGCGCGGGGCCAGCGGCTCGGCGGCGGCGGCGGCGGCCGCCCGCCCGAAGAGGCTCCGCAGGCAGGCGCTCCGGCAGCCCCAGTAGCACGACGACGTGTTGCAGCAGTGGCAGATGTGCAAGGAGCTGCTGCCGCCCGGCTCCTCCGCGCCCTCGGCCGCCGCTGCCCCGACGCCGCCGCCGCCGCAGACGCCCGCCGCCGCCGCCGCCGCCGCCGCCTCGTCCAGGTTGTGCAGCTGGGCGAAGCCGCCGCCGCCGCCGCCGCCGCCGCCGCCGCCATCCGACTTGGCCGCCATCTTGCTGCCGCCGCCGCCGCGTCTCCGGCCCCTTCGCCGGGCGCGCTCGCTCGCTCTGCCCCCCCCCCCCAAACCCGTCCCCGCTCCCGGCACCCCCCCCACCCCGCCGCCCGCCCGGCTGCCCGCCCGCCGCTTCCGGGGGCGGTGCTTCCGCGCCCGCGGAGGACGGGCCGGGCCGCCTAGCGACCGACCGGGGGGACGGCGGCCGGGGACGGGCGACCAGCGGGGCTACCCCGGTGTCGTGTGTGTGTGTGTGTGTGTGTGTGTCCCCCCTCCGCGCACACACACCCCCCCTCGGTGCTGCCTCCCCCACCTCCCGTCGCACCGGCACCCACCGCTCTTCCTCCGCGTTCCCCTCTGCGGCAGCACCCACGGTGCTACTTCCCCCCCCCCCCCCCCTCACCTCCACCGAAACACCGGCAACAGCACCCCCCTCTCCCCTCCTCCCCACCCAGAGCTGGGGCGCCTTCTGCTCACCCCCACACCCCGTGTCCCAAATCCGCCCTCGAAGCCCCGTCCTGAGGTGCAACACCCCCCCCCCCCGCCATCCCCATCACCTCAAACCCCGAGGCTGCCGCTCGGCCATCCAGCTGGTCCTCAGCCTCGCCCCCCCCCCCCCCCCCCCCCATTCCCACCTCAGCAGCTCCCCGGTACCTGCCAGGTCCTGGCCCTCCTCTGGGTTTCTCTTTGCCTTTCCCCATCCCGTGGCGGGGCTGAGGAAGGGGGGGCTCCCACCCCACCCCATCCCATAGGTTCCCCCCCATCCCTTGGCAGCAGTCTCCAAGCGCACCTCGGCACTCCAACCTCGCATGGCCTCAGTGAGCGCCCAAATCCCCCACTGCAGTGTCCTCCTGTCCCCCTCCTAAACACAAGGACCCCCCCCCATCCTCTGTCCTCTGCCCTTGACCCTTCCTTATCCACTTTGGGGGAACGCTACTTCGCCCCCCCCACACTTCTCACAGGGTCAGGCAAACCAGCCGGCTCCTCTCCACGGTCACAGCTCCTTGCTGGAGGAGCTGAACCTCTGACAAATTGAGGAACCAGCTCCCAGCTCCGGTTTTGGGATCTACCCCGGGGCTGAGCTGCACCCCAGGCAACTGTTTCACCAAAGGACCTGCTGGCAGGCTGGGGAACCCAAATTCAAAGTTCTTCACCCTCCCAGTTCCCTTTCTACCTGCTCACATTTGTTAGTTCATCATATCCTTTTTTTTCTGTGCTGTCTTGTGCTGTCCTCTGTAGGTTACAATCTCCCCTTTTTTCTGCTGTTTTTTTTTTTTCACCATTCAATAAACGTGCTCCTTCCAGATGCTCCTTCTCCAGCTCTTTTACTCTCCTGTGGACTCTTGCTTCTGCTTCTTTCTATGGGAGTCTGAATTCTGCCCTTTCTCTTCTTTTTTTTTCTTCTTTTTTTAAAAAAAAAAAATATGGCAAACTATCAGGGCTGATTTATTCAGGACTCTAGAGCTGGCTGCGAAAGTTGCTGCTTTGCAGAGTCTAAATTTCAACAGGGAAAAAAAAGAAAAAAAAAAACAAAACAACAAAAAACAACAAAACCCAAGCAGGTGGAAAGGTGCATGAGCGCAGATAAAATGCTTTTTCCAGGGAGGGAAAATTAATTTAATCTTGAGAAGAGTGGGAGGACTTGCATACATTAAATAAGCTGTCTGGGAAGCATGTATTTGGCCTTTCTGAGCAATGTCGAAGGAGTTCAAAAGTTTTGCAAAGTCTGAAAGCCGCCGCTGGTTTTGAAACGGTTGGATCCTCCTGGAGCCGATAAACAGAAGAAAGGAAACAGAAAGCAGAACTTGGTGCATTGTCCAGATGAATGCACTCTAACGCATGCCTGTATGTGGCCGAATCAAAGTCATTTGTAGTGCATGAAACTCCAGCACAAAGTTCTTCAGAAGGAGAAAACTGGTGTTATAGATATAATGGGATCAGAGAGGATGTGATCCCGCAGGTCCCCACGATGCTCAATTCAAACATTGTGGATAGTCCCTTATTTTCTGCTGACTTAAGCTGTGGCAAGAAATACAAATATGGAAATAAATGAGATGAATGCCAGCCCCTAACTTGACCAAAATGAATTCATGTGCATAAGGCATGTATAATATATATGTAACATAAAATCCCTCTCCTGTTTGACACTTTAAAACCTAAGCAGTAAATATGTATGTTAATTCTCACAGCAGTAAGAAAAAAGGATTCTAAGACCCATATTCTTGGGTGAGAGGCATCCATACTAAGCTTAAACTTTTGTTTTGCAGTACGATGAGATATAAATGGAAGCGTTCCTCATTTCTCCAAACTTTTCTATGTAGCCAATTTGCTACATGTGATTTGAAAAAAAAAAAACAAAAAACAAAAAAAAACCACAACAAAAACCAAAACAACACAGAAGTAATAAAACTATTTGCTCTTATTATTTCAATAGAAGTGTAGGTGCACATTGCATTTCATGACCCAATAAGGGGGCAGAAGAGTCATCTGTTTTGATACAAAAACAACCCAAACTTGTGCGATGAGACATACGGGTGGGAGAAGACAGCAGTTAAAGATTTTAGCGTTGGCACACTAAATGAGAAAAGCAGTTGCTTGGGCAATATATGACATGATACAATATATTGTTGAGACTGCCTCTGAATTCCTCGGTGCAGTTGTGGCCACCTGTGTCCAAGAAGGATGAATTCAGGCTGGAATATGTACAGGGAAGAGCCAGGAGTCAATGAGAGGTCAGGACAGTCTGTCTTTCCACTGTGGACTGAAAGAGTTTGGCTTGTTTAGTTTAGCAAAATGAGACTGGAGAGGGAATATGTTTTCTGCCTATAAATACATCCTGGAAAGTAAATGCAAGCGAAGGGAAAGGCGTCATGACACTGAAGGGCAACAGCAGAAGAGTAAATGAGTAGGAACTGGCCGTGAATATATTTAGTCTAGAAATCGGAAGATCCTTCCAGTAGGAGTAGCAGAAACTAAAAAAAAAAAAAAAAAAAAAAAAAAAAGAAACTAGTTTTAACACATAGCTTCATAATTTTATAAAGGAAATTGCAAATTGCATACCAACGTGAAACAATAAACAGTTGGGATGAAAGCCCTTGAAAGGTTTTCCAGCCCAGATCATCTCTCCTTGGAAAGATCTTGTCCATTTTGGTGCGTTGGTACACTACGTTCCTTCCTGCATCAGGCGATGAGTCACGGATACATGACTCCGTGGGTGGCCAGAAGTGATATCTCCACCGCTTACATCTTAATTCCTGATTTTCCCATGATGTTCTCCAGCTCCTGCTCACTCGCTTATCACACAGCAGAGACGCAGCCACATCCAAAACACCCCACAAACCCCTCATTTCCCTGGTACCCACAGCCACCCCTGCATGGTCGCTTCACACAAGGACATGAGAAAGATGCTTTGCCCCTTCAGTCAACAAGAGTTGCAGTCCTGCTTTGTTTTAGCACTGGTCCTTATAGCGAGCTAGAAGAGTCATTAGTCAGATCCTGTTACTTTTATTAGCCAACACTATGTATTTTTAAGGGGCTTTTTTGAAGTCACGAGTGTCAATCACACCCGTGTTGAGATCTCTTTTAACTCATTTGTTTGAGAGGAGAAAGCTTTTTTCTGTGCTCAGCAGCAATCCACGTTTCCATCATGCTGAAGGCACTTATGTCCAGAGGTCTGGGTAAACTCTGGGTGACCCTTAGATCTGCGAGTATTTATAAAACATATTTAGCAAGGGTTTTTCCCTTGAAGTACTCAGAGCTGATCTGTCTGTGCCTTGCATTTCACGTTTTTTCTGTTCTTCAGAAGCACCAGTGAGATACCAGACGTGCTTGGTGCTCCAGCAGCACCCAGCAAACTAAGGCATGGGATCATAACCTTCTTGTGCTGGTTGGTTAAAGGCTTTTTTCGTCCTGATCAATACACTAATTGAGCTGTGTGGTCTTCCATCTTCCAGGCATTTATTCAGATCAGAGGAACAAACACTATATATAGAGAGGTATGTAAGCCAGAATCAGAGCTGTGTAAATCTGGAACTACCTCATTTAAATAACTGGGGGATGGATCCAGCTGGGTGTTTGGTATATGTGGAGTAATCTGCTACCAGCATAGATAATTACAATTAATGGGGATTTACTTTAAGCAAAGTAGGTCAGAAAAATGACATCTTATTGTGTCATTAGTTTCCATCAATTACTTCCATGTTGTTTGCTCAGTTTCCAAGTCAAATGAGTGTGGGCTGACAGCCTTGCAAGCTCAACTTGGTATTGTCTCTAAAAATCAAACTGCATTATTTCTGCCTCATGCATCATCACTAACAATAAAGCATCCACCGCTGGAATATAGCAGGTGGCTTTGTTATTCATGCATGAGGCAGAAAAGACGCCAGCTTCCTTTGCAACGACGTTAAAGTCTCCGCGGTATTCAAAGTTGGATATGTTGGTAAACTTAATAGTTATTGTGTGAGCTTGACTTAGAAGACACTCCTAGGTCAGTCCTTCTGTTGACTGACTTCTGTGCTTTCTATTGGACTTTCTGAATGCTACATGTGTAGACTGGGGGAGGATTAACACGATGCTGCTTTTGCTGTCACTTCTCTCCTTGTGACAGCACTTTGTGACATTTGGATCTCTAGGAAGGGTGCAGAAGGTGCCAAATGTTATGTATTGAAAAGCCAGCCCACGGCGATCCTAACAACTGTCCCTAGGAGACTGTGAGGAATGTTGGGTGAAGCTTTCCAGTTCTAGTACTTCTTTTTTATTTGAGGGCTTTGTTTTTGAGCTTTCAGTTTAGCAATGCAGTTGAGCGATAAGTGTTATCAGTGACTGCCAATAATCATGTGTCAGTCCCTCCTGATATTTTGAAACAACTGAACTTGGTGTGTTCTCGCAGCTGGACCAGGTGCTTCACTTCTAATCCCGGTTCCTTACAACTCTATAATTTCACGTGCAACTGAGTAGTTTTGAATGGCTTATACTTTCCAGGAAATACATTAAAATTAAAGAATATGTCTAGGCTCCAGTAGTCCAATCAGGAGCAGATCCTTTTCAAAGTAAATATCCCTGTGAGCCACCCTGGTTTCACTCGCTGAGGTTTTGGCAGAATTGGGCTATCAGAGAGGAAGGCATTCAAACAAGAGGCTATTCCTTAAAAACAGATTCCTCTTCCTGGCTATAGT